AGTTTTAAAGGATCAAAGCTATATGCATTTAAGGTAGTCAGATCCTTAGGTTTATAAAAGCAGCAGTTAAGTATTCAAAAATACTCATTAAAGTATCTCGGAATCCACAAAATTATGTGAATCTATCCACAGTATTTTTTTTTTTTAGTTAAAGATTAAAGTTCATCATATTATAATGGGGAAATTGTCAAATTTACAATATTTTTTGCAGAAAAGGCGAATCGGAATATCAGCAAAGCATTTTCTAATCGCAAATTGATCAACAAATATATTCTAGGTTGAAAAACAATAGGTATCCAGGCATTCAGCGAAATTGACACGATTTGTATACTTATTTGGTATTTTTTGTCTTTTATTTCCTTCATGTATTCTATAATACATAGTGTAAAAGGCTTGTGCTATCATTGCAAGACACCACAAATCACTTTGTATTCCACACCATGCTAATACGCATTTTTATCTAAGATTGGATTTTAAAAAAAAACTTATTTCTCTAAAACTGTATTTTTTTTTTATTTTTTTTAGGGTTCAAATGTCAACAGACCCTATCTTAGACTTGCACAAACCTTGAATCTTATAAAGATTAATAAAATGAAAATTGTTGCATGAAAAAGTCATTTTCAAGCTTCATTTTGATGCAGCTCAAAATAAATATTAATTTTTGGAGTTATCCCTCCTGGCTGAGGATCGGATATCCTAAAAATAACTAAGATATGCCCTTTTTTCTTCAGAACATTTGAAGTTAAAACCGATAAAGATAACTTGAACAATTTATAATGGTTGAAACATAAGTTTTGCAATTATATTGTCTTTTTTATAAGACTTATCAACACTTACTACCGGTATTTTCTACAGAAACTTTATTGTATACCACATTGATCTTCTAATTGCTCTCACACTCCTCATTTACATTATGTTTTTTTTTTAATCTCTTTTCAGATTTAAACGTGAATCTGATTCAAACTGCTTACAGTCGGTTTCAATTTATGAAAAAAAATCCTTATAAAGAGGAACATAATCTGTAGGAATCAGGGAATGATTAACAAAGCTTCTTTGTCTTCTGCTAAAAGGTTTCTTATATAAACCCATTTTGCCCACTCTAAGAAACGTCATCTCTGATCTCAAGATCATGCAGCACCAGGCCTGGGGAGCATCAAATTTAGATGACGCTCACTTTTTATCTTAGTCTCACTTTTCCACAATATATTCCTTTGATAAAAGTGACACTGAGCTGAGATCAAAAGTGAGCTCGACTAAGTTTTATGGCCAACGGGCCTGGTCTAAGTCTTCTGTAAAACACATTTTAATAAACTTTTTTTATTATTCGGAGCATTTATCGATACAAAGGTTTACCGTTCACGGTAGCGCAGTCAGTAGAGCGCTCGCTCCGTGATCGGGAGGTCGCGACTGACCTAGTCGTTAAAATGGGTAACAACTGTTCCTTCGCCATGCGTTCGGCACTTTGAAGTGAAAGTTGCGGGTCCTTCGGCTGAGACCTTAAAAACCGAGGCCCCGTGTCAGCGGCAGGCGTTGGCGCGATAATGATCCTTCACTGCTCAATGGCCCTGAGTGCCGAGTAAAGGTCAAAATTTGAAGCCCTTCACCGGCATACGGTGACGTCTCTATGAGTGAAAAATTCTCGAGAGAGACGTTAAACAATATACAATCAATCAATCAATCGATACGAAGGTTCATTATGAATGGGTTTTTTCCATCCTTACAAAGGGGCAGTATTTCATTGCCATCTATCTAAAGTGCCACATAATTATAACATAAAACGTATATGTAGTTTATAAGACTGCCAATTTATTTTTGCATTTTGCAGACATAGTTATGACGCTCGTTGCATACCCTATCTAGCATTCCTCTTTGTTGAATTGTGTAGATAACGCAGTGCTCGATGTTGTTTAAGTTATTTGGTTCTCCAGAACTGAATGTGGAGTAGAACATTGGCTCTGCATTTGAAAGATATAGAAACGTTCCTTCATGTTGAACATCGCTTGCACCAAGCCAGATCGCGCCATACATGTAACCTAAACAATAATATAAGATAAACTTAGATAGAATTTTAATTCACATATTTATGAAATCATTTTGTCTAAGAGCTTATAACTTTTAGTTTTCTTTTATAAAATATATCTACGAGGGTCATTCAAAAAGTTCGTAGACTTTTATCATAACTTTTTTATTTAACGTCATATTTAAACCAAATTTGGTACATATATTTTAACAACAGATTCAAATATTTTGAGCAAGGAAATTGGAATATATCTTGATTTTTGTAAAAATTATCAAAGATTTAAGACAACAAAAATGGGGTCACGGAGCAGGGTCAAAATTGAGTTATTGACTGATTATTCACTTTTCATATCTATAGCCATACCTCTTTAAAATTGTCCTTAAATAAAATAAAATTTACATAATTAAATTTAGTATTGTTTCATTTCTTCAAAAGCAAAAAGTTAATGTAATACATTGCTTTGTTTAAAAGATATCGATTTCTGTAGACAGATAGTCTTGATTTAAAAAAGCAAAAAATCATGACGTTGAAGGACGTCACGGAGCAGCGAGTAGCAATATAATTTTGTTTTGCGTTTGGAAACTTTTGAAACAAACTCCGAAAATGTTGGAGAGACCAAGAAAAATACATAAAATGAGGCGTGTATTTGTTTATAATGGAACAGACAATTTTTGAGGGGTAAAGACTTTAAATTGGGCGATGGGCGTTCTGCAAAGAAACATATTATAGTTCAAAATCTTGTCAAAAGAGTTAATTACGTCATGAAACGTGATGTGGGCTTCACTTTTGCGGAACCTATAAGAGCGGAGTTACATGGTAAAGGATGTGAAAACATTGACAATCTTATTTAAATTCTACTCAAATTATTGTTAGCATACTAGGTGTCAAGTGTTGTGGAAACGTTTTAATGAATGAGAAATACGATGCAAACCATGTATAAAATGAAAAGGCACTGTGAGTTTGAGGAATGTTCTTTAACGTTGTTTTTGACGTTACACTGTTTTTTACCGTGCTCCGTGGCGACAAAACATGTTGCATTTAAAATTGTCTAGTATGAGTTCCGTTTAATCAAATAGAATGAAACTTCAGAAATCTATAAAATATATATTTTTACATTTAAAAATGTACTGATATTAAGATTTGTAAAAATAATGTGATGATAAGGAACATTGTATACGTATTTTTTGAATGACCCTCGTAAATGAAATTCAGGCATATATCCCCTTAATAATAAGAAAAAAAATAAATCACTATCAATTTCTTTATTTAAATTTTTCTTCATGTGTTTTAATGGAAACAATTGATTGCAATCTTAGCTTTAACTAGTGTGTGATATATTTTTATAATGTACTTGTACCTTTTAATCGGATTTGCAGATCGATCCACCTTTCTTCCTTGAAATTGTGAAGTTCCAACACTTCTGCGCCCATTCGATGGCATGCCGACTAAAAATAATGGAGATCAACATAATACCTTATGTAACATACGCAAATTAAAGTTTAGAAGTATTTACCGTATAAACTCGCCTGTAAGTCGGTTGTATTTTTAGGATGTTTTGAAGGGATTTGCCATTGACCCGATTATAAGTCGGTACAACAGATGACAATTTAAAATGAATTATCTGATATTATAACCTGGTTTTAAATAACATTTTTTGAAATGTTGGTCGACTTTAACCTTTCAAATATTGATCATGATACATGTATAATGTATAATGCCCTCTTAAGATTAAAAAATTAAATTATTAAAATACATGTAATATAAAAATACATGTAATTAATGTTTAATCTTAGAATACAAACATTATATGATAAATCCAGACTTTGTTAACCGATAACTGTTGAAAATATTTATAGAACACCACGTTTTGCCGTCCAAAAATATGCCAGTCTTTTATGTCTCGTTTATAGTCGGATATAGACTTTTGGACTAAAAGAGCATGAGCCATCTTATGCATATAATGGCAATTTCATATGTCAAAATAAAGTAGACACTTGGTGCTTCCTTCTTGTATAGTAAAATTTCGTTTTGAGAATCCAGATATTGGAAAACAGGTTTGAGAATTTGCAATGCTCTTGAAATTTGCAAAAAAAAAACATGCGTATTTGACTACCTTCAGCAAAAAATTAAAATATGAGCACAGCCCACGATCCAAAAATTAAAACTTTTTTTTTTATATTCAGAAACAGACCTTTCATTATGTATTTGCATATTTTGGATCAGAGGTTGTGCTCTATATGAAATATTGAAAAAATGCTTCAATTTTAGGCCATTTTAGGAATTTACAGGATATGAGAAAAAGGCCGAAATTTATGACGTCAGAACGCATTGACTAGATGGGAAATACGTCAAGATTTATAGATACATGGTCACCAACACTCTAAGTTATAAATACTGCATTTGCAACCTAAACTGAGTGGTTTCGATTTTTCGGAAACTCTCAGGGCCAAATAAGGCCCAACTTGGCTCTTGCTCTTTAACACCCCAAAAAAATCGATGACGACTATATATGGTATGTATGATCTCCGTAAATTGACTTTGCATTAATAGCAGTTGAATTTTTCATCATTAATTGTTTTTACGAACTGAAAATTACATTTTGACAATGCAAAATCGAGTCAATAAAAAATTCTTTCAAAAAAATTGAATTATACCCGATGATATCAGTGTTAACACATTGATTTGTTATCTTCTTTTTGTTCGTTTCTTTCTCAAGGTCACTTCGGGAATCCCATCCCCCTTTTCATTTCTTTAATTATATGGGGTCGACACTTTTTTTTCTATTTTGTATATGTATATCTACTACCTGAAATCTTTTAAAGCAACCTTTTTGTCCCAATAAGCCAGCTAAAATAGCTTATGTTTAAGTCTTTAATATGTATGTCTCTATAAAATCGGAAAAAGAACGATTTGTACTTTATACCAAAAACATGGAATTTCCTTGGAAAGAAAACCAGTAGAAGTTGAATTTGTATTTTACCATTGCATCTTTAAGTGAAACTTTTGATGTTGAAAAGTAATAACAACTCCACTGGAAAGAGGCCCATCCTCCTTTACATGTTCTCGTGGAATCTTTAAAGAAAAAACAAAATGCATCAGTTTTTAATTTAAAAGTAGGGTAATTTCTATATTCATTATTCGTACAAAACATTTAAGGACAGATACAGTTGTATTATTTCAGAATCGTAACAAGCAAATTGAAATGCATGTAATAAGTTTTTATAATGTGATATTCATCATGAAATGAGCTATTCATGAGTGATTCGTTTGGCTTCATTGATACAATAACCCAAAAATTTCTTTCTTCTAAAATTAATCTTATTAATCATCAAACAAATTGTCTTAATCCCTATCCACTGTGTAAATTTGCTAATTTCCTTCTATGTTCTTTTTTTTATTTCAGTTGAAACTGCATACATTCTTAAGTCTAGATGCAATTACCGTAGCACACCTGTTTCTAAAACAATGACTTACAGCAATTAGTAGTTTTATCTACTCATTTAAAACTAATAAACAATTAGGTACTTTAATTTTGGCAATGGAAAAAAAGAGAATGTCTTTTATTGTCATTTGCAAACAATGCTTGGAATCTCTTTTAAAAAGAGCAATTCTTTATCAGATGTTCAATCATAAAAAAAAAATTGAGTTTATATTTAAGATACATAATACTGTAAAAACACAAATTTTCTTTGGGTCAAATTTTCGTGGTTCCAGAAAAAAATTGGTTTGTGGGGATTTTATTGCGTAGATGAACATTTTTTTAGCAGTTGTGCATAAGAAAATTAACATTATGTTGTTGGCATGAATTCGTGGGTTTCTTCATACCTCGAAAACAACGAAAATTAAACCCCTTGATAATTTAGTGATTTTACAGTATTTCCTAAATTAAATTTCAATCATCATCTTGTGAAATTAAATTTTCTGTAAAAACATATGTACTTGAATTTATTAAATCTTCTGTGAAAATCAACAAATTACACTGTAATATTCAATTCTCTGTAAAATGTCTAGTTTTTACAGTATTTCTATTAAAGCTGCAACAGTATGTTAATAAAAAGTTATACAGTTAGGTTGTCTTTTTTAATATTGATGAATCATACCTAATTGGGAATCATTTTTTGCATTAACTGCATGTTTATTATCTTGTACAAATAGTATTATTTGCTATATCCCTACTAAACAGTCCGTCTATATCTTCTTACTTTAAAATGTCCAACAGTTCGACTGTTTCCCCGACTGTTAAACTGTTAAATTGCTAACTGTTAAAATTTACTGTTAAAAAGACTGTTGCCCGCTGCCGTCATATAGCGCTAAACTGTGTCATGTTTCAGTCATTCGGCAAACTTCTGTTAATTCGCATAACTGTTATTTAAAGGTAATGAGCCGAGTAGTGCTGAGTAATTAAAACATATGGTAAAGATAAACAGAAATGGCCGATGTTCGTTTCGCGGCGGAAAACGAGGATGATATCCAGTCGATATTCAAATGTACTTTCAGATATTTTATTTTTTTACTTTAACGACGAAGAACTTGCTCTCCTTCTTGACAACCCAATGTTAATAAAATTTTGAAAACACGGGCATTGATCAGTATTCCTATTTAAAGCACATTTCACAAAATCACTCCTTTCTTTTGATGGTTTTTACGTAACCATTAGAAATTAAAATTTGTTCAGATTTATTGTAGAATTGAAATGTATTCTACGAATTCTGGCTAGTATAACTATTAGCTTAAGTACTGTTTGATATGTCATTGTTGATTGATATGATTCGTGATTGCGATCATGATAAGGAGTACATGGCTGGTGTGACCGGTCAGCAGGGGATGTTCACTCCTCCATGGCACCTGATCCCAGCTTTGATGTTTTGGAGGTCCGTGTTTGCTCTGCTCCTATTTTGTTTTGTTTTATGCATGAACTTTGATGATGAATCCTGCTCGTTATCTCCAAATCCTAATTCATGATCTTAAACATGATAAAGTCTCTCTCTCTCCCAAAAAATTACTTTCATTCAATATATGAATTTGATTTGGTAGGTGTATAACAAAACAGTTGTTGACAGTTGTCTCGGGAATCAGTCGACCTGTTGGACCTGAGTACAAGCTGTTGCCCGCGGCCTACGGTCTTGGGTAACAGCTTGTACTCCGGTCCAACAGATCAAATGTTTCCCTCTACCCCAGTCAACAACTGTATAATATTGTCATTTTCTTGACCTATTTTACAAGGAACTGGTGTGCATAGGCCTTGTCTGTTTCACAATTCTTATCTCATTTTTCAATAAAACACGTTTAAAGTAAAACATGAACTAAGTTTAAAAATTCATAAACGATATGATCTTTAAAGAAGATCTTCTACATATTTTTTTTTTTCAGATAAGTATATAAACTCCAGTTATATAAAACAAACAAATGTTTACAACAATTTAAAACAAGTTATTCAACATATATCAATTTCAATAGAGGGGAAAATAATAAATAATGACTCTGCTTGCACTTCAAAATTTCCATAAAATCTTACACTGCATTAAATGAAAAAATAAAATAATGCTAAAAATATGAATTAATTAAAATTTATAAGTGGCGTATTCTTATTTGACGCAATTTCACTGATTTCCTACAATTTTGTTTTCAGGTTGTTTTCAGGTTTGGCTTTTTTATCATTTAGCAACTTTTTAGGTTAGATATGCTTTTGAAATGCTTTGTAAATTTATTTAATTCTGGTGTGAAATAAGATTATAAATTTTTGCTATTTATAATTTTATTTTATTTTTTTGTTTCTTTTTCTAATGCAATTCCAATTCTAATGCAATTCTAATTTAGAAATTCTTCAATAATTTTGTTTTTTCATCCAAAATTAATTTAAAATGTTAAATGAAATGTAAGCCGTAACATTTTTTAATATTTTTAATAAATCTTATAACTTTCAACAGGAATTGAGATATAAATAAATATGTCAATTTCAACCTGAAGGTTCTTAGAACTATAACAATTACTTGGGAAAAATAAGGGAATAAATAATTGTAAAAAAGGGAATTATTACTAGTACTTATATTCCAGTGAAATTCGATTTCTTGATAGAAGACAAGAAATTAATTCAAAGATCACTGGAAGACTCTGCAAGACAACTGAAATGACGCAACAAATTCACGGAAACACAGCTAAAATGTACTGTAACATGTCTGAGTTGTAGCTGAAAGGATATTGGAATATACTGTAATATGTCTCAATTGTAACTGAAAGGTCGGTGAAATGTGCTTATCATTCATTAATTAAAAATATTGAAACACTCCGTTATTGCTTTTTTATACAAAATGAAGTGTATAAAAAGTAGATAATTTGAAAAAAACGAAACTATTTCTCGATTCAACACGTGTTAATCAGTCTTATAGAATGTATGTTTCTTTCACAGTCGCAACCAAGGTGTATATCACCAAAAAGTTTGGCAGTTAAAATAGTTGCACTTTGTAAAAAAAAGAATAGAATACAGTCTGACACTTCTAATGTATAAAAAAATCATTTTAAACAGTCTGTTTTAATTCATCATTTCAATTAGCGTAGAATATACATACCCATATAAATTTGACCGGGGATGGAACTTAATATCACCAAAACAAGAAGCTGTCCAGTTTTGAAGTGCATTTTCCACAAAAAATTAATACGGTTCTGCTGCCTTTTAATAAAAATTTACAAAAATTACTTATATTTATATTCAACAAAATAAATCAATACATTCATACTTGACTAGTTTATCAAATTACTTACTTCAAAAATTGTCGCCATATGTCACAATAAATCAACGAAATATTTCTTCTAAAAATCAATTAAAAAAAAACATGTGTTTGTTTGTTATCGGATTTCTTATATATCAAGAAAGTATCCCAAATAAAAAAAAGAATATGTCTTTATACCAATATCAAGATGTGCTTTAATTTTTATCAATAAAAAACGTATTTTCTATGAATTCATATTTTTTAATGCAAAGGAGTAATTATATTTTTAACTAGTAACGATCTTGTTGCGTGCAACGAGTGGTCTTCCGTCTATTCTGAAAAATAACCCTGAAAATCTATTAAACATATTTTTGGAGACATTGATAATTGAATCGGGTCACTAGCGTGAAAATTCAATACACTTATCGATTACGCTATTTGAACAACTTTTCTAAATTCACGTGTATGTACATGTAATTCTGCAACAGTTAATATGTCTTGGAATTATGAAAAGAAGGTCACTATTCATAATTTTGCGCCAAATGCCACGAGAAAATCTTAGCGTCTTTCCCCTGGAATGTTCTATTAAATAGGCGAGATAGCTTCAAACAAACCAAATAACAAAAGTGCGTTCTTACCGCCTAAATTTCGAGGAGTGGAAAGTATATTTAACACATGCATGTAACACGTCGTATATAGGCAAATAACACTAAAGCATTGAAACCGCAATGAATGGTTAATATTTTTCTGTTAATCACGAAAGTGGACTATTCCGATTACCTACACTTTCATGAAAAAAATGCCTCGATCGCCCTACAATGGTCAGGGTAAGATTCCATTATGTTCAATAACTTGCTTTGAGAAAACAAAAATGTTTATATAAAGTCAATTTAACGGTCTTTTAGAAATAGTTGTCTGTAAAAAAAATTCTTATTGTAACATTTGTCGTTTCTATTAATTTAATATGACACAAGTGTGCATGGGAAAACAATGGCCAATATATCACATATATAACACATATATAACAATATATATCAATTCTTCCGTAATATTAGCTCTTGTAAATTTCAAAGTAAAATCAATAGCCTAATGATCTAATGTGTTACTTTTATACGTATTTTTACGTAATATTATTTTACATGTACGTAAATATTAATTTAAATCAACAGCCTTCTGGTGTCAACGTGTACCCGACTGAAGTATTTGTTAATATCTGTTAAATAAATAATAAAATGTATATTTTAATACTGCCATCTATGTTCCTATCAGCAGCTGCTTGATAAATTATTTGTGTAGCATGCTTGTTGTGATGCATGACAATGTAATTCTAACTGTTTTATATGTGTAGATAGTGTAGTACTAATATAATGTCGGTCAAAAGCTCTACAGAGCTGATGTTTTTGTTATAAAAAATCCGACTCGAAATAAAATTTTCTGACTGTGATTCTGATTAAGAACTGTACCGAACGAGTAGAAGCAAAATGAACATTTTATATTAATATTCATCAATCCCTCCTTGAAACGTTTAGTTCCCCATTTTATCTGTAAACAGTGGGTGAAACATTTTTTCTTAAATTAAGCCTGGCAAAAAGACGGTTTATAGTTGCTTAATGATGGATTAAAAGTATTTCCGCTTCTTTTGAGGGTGGTTAAACGTAGCAAAATGCTGATGTTAAAATGGTTTAGGCGCTTAAACTAAATTAGATTTCCATACAGTAACCATTTCCAAAAGAACATAAAGCGTAGTTGTAATATGTACTTTTGAGAGATCAGGCTTAACGAGGGAAAAATTACTTTTTTTTCAAAATCTCCATCCCCTTTTTGTAAAAATCTAAAAGAATTTTTTTTTAATTGACAATAATGTGAAAACTGTTAAACAATGTTATGGATATTGTACTTCAAATATTCTTATGTCATATCCATATTGGATAAAAGCAGCAAATATACAGAATTTACAAAAATACTTATTTTTTCGGGGGAGGGGTGTAGAAATTCACAGATACTTGGGTCTTGCTTCATAATTATATATGTACTTTATCGATATGTAAAATATTTTTTTTTTATTTTTATACATATCAATAAGGTACATACATGTACATATTCATAAAGCAAACCCCAAGTACCTGTGTAAAAATTAGATTTCGACCCCTCCCTCCCATTATGAATAGATCAAGTAATTTATACAAAAGACTGTTAGGAAAAGAAATGAAACGTATTTTTTCAAAGCACAAAATTTACAGCTTTTATTGTAGTTGAACAAAAATTATTCGTTAGTTTTCTCTTTTACAATAAGCAAGTTAATTACAAAGTATAAATTGAAAGTCGGGCTAGTTGTCTCGATGCTCTCAGTAAGGGAAACATTCTCTATCCAGAGTTTTCGTTCCCATTACATACATGTTTTGTGAGCGTAGCAAAAGACGGCTCTGGATAGAACATGTAAGGGAAATACTAGTAAAATTTTACCGATAAAGAGCTAAGTTCACGAAGTGCAAAAATCTGCCTAGTTATCAAAATATGTGAAACTTCCTGACATCATACTCGTAGATTTGTATGTTGTAAAACATTTTATTTTTTAAGAATATCTTTTCTGGTTTTCTTTTTACAGCCGTTTCAATTTAGCATAGTTTTCTTAATCAATGCTGTCACGTCATTACGTTGACGTTATATGCTTCAACACCGTGACGTTGACGTTTTGTATAAAAATAACACATAAACGTTTATGGAATAAAATTCAACAATATAGGCCATTCTTCAAAATTTTAAAATTTCAGGACAATGTTTCTATGAATTATTTAAGAAGTTCTGAAAAATGGATTTGTTTTTTTTTCCAATTAATATGTAATTCAAAGAAATGAAAACTATTTGTTATATATTTATAAATAAAGATTGAGTGGAAAAACCATGGATACATGCAACACCTTTTAAATGAAAATAAGGTGCAGATTAAGTTGATCACCAACACAAAGTGTAAATCTATCATATCTGAGTAAAACTGAATTTTTTGTAGTAAAATATATACTATGGTAGTCATGGAGGAAACGGATTTTAATATCCTTAAATGTGTTATTATATGGTCCTACGGCATACAAACTTAAAAAATAGAGATTTTGACAGAGAATGTTCTTTAATAACGAAAACATCATGCAAGCTTAAAAAATGCTTAATCAAAAATAAATATGTTTGTAGTTAAATCATCATTTATTATATTGTCTTTTAAAGATTTTTGTAATTTATTGCATTTCCTGAACATTTGATATGTACACAGTTTTTACATGTAATACACGAAAAAAAGTGACAATATTGAAGGGTACATATGTATCTTACGCACACAAAGCAGTACATATATTTAGGAAAGAAACCAGAATAGTAGACTTTTAAACAAAATTGATGCAAAGCAGGCGCAGGTAGCATCGTCTTTGAAAGTGGGGGGGGGGGGCGGCCAGAGAATATTTTTCACTTACCTGTAAATTAAAATTGACAAGCAAAAAAAAAAATAAATAAAAAGAAAAAAAGAAAAAGAAATTGCTCAAACTCGAAAATCCTATTTCGTGGGGGAGGGGTGGGGCAACTTTTTTCAATGTCAACTTTCTTTCACTACCATTCTTTTGCAGACAATACTACATTTCCCTGATATCATTTTACTATGGTAAGAAGTGTGGGAGGGGGGCAGCAACCTATCAATTAACATTTTCAATAGTATAGGTAATGTTGGGAAAAAGTGCCCCCCCCCCCCCTATGTTGCTATGTGCCTGCAAAGCATCAAATCGGCCGCAAAAATTACCTTTTCCGTTAAAAAAAAAAGAACAAAACGAAAACACAAGATTTCCAAAGTATTAAAATTATAAAAGTTAAAAAACAAGATAACCACCATCTTCGCTAGCTAAGGGCTTGAGAAGATGGTTAAACGGAAATGGCACGTAAACCAATTATTTAATGTAATTTACTTAATTGAAATAAATCCACCAATGAACGATAAAAATGTTATATAATCAAATTGAAAAATTTTATCAAACTTCTCTCAGTACCACTTTTTATTTTAAAAATCTACACTTCCCCTTCTTTGAATACACTGCAACATGTGCGTGTTGAAATACGGGAGGGGGGTAACCTTTTTTTTAAAAAAGAATATTTTAATATTTACAGATTATATAACTAATCAATATTCTCATAACTGAATTAAATCAAAATTTATATTTATTGAAAAACTAGAGGATTACGGATAACCGCTAATTAGCATGACTAGCTTTCGACGAAGAGATTAGCTCAAAAACTAACGCAAGAGGATTAGCTGATTCACAGCGATTTCTATGGAATTGTTCAGATCTAATCACTTGATTTTATATAGGGAAAATTCAGTAGAGGTAAAATAAACGAAACTAACTTCACGTGCTAATATAATGAATCTTTGTCATGTGACAACACCTATGTTCTTTCAATATATGCGGGGTGAAAAAAAAAATCGTTGTGTCATTTGAAACTAATGTACCTAGGACTTCTTTTCAGAAAACCTATTACAATATATGAGACATTTCGGCACTGTAATTCATATCCTGACATGTCAAGCAACATATTACCTTACCATACCCCCCCCCCCCTGGATACCATGTTGAATGAGTCAGAGAGAAACGCCCTATCTATGATGTTACATTCTATACGTTATTTCAAGAAAAAAAAAATGACAGACAGGTAAAATTACCAGTTCAATCCTTTTATGATACATTTAATACATTTGGGACATACCGGTATAATGAATTAATTCAATGACCAATCACGAAACATCAGTAATGTTCTTGATTTTTTATCATACAGAATTTTAAAAATAAATGAAAATGCAATTCATTTATTAATATCTTTTAAAATATTACTGTATCCCTGTAGTATCTTTTCGGATCCCCACAATATCACTCATATTAAATGACGTATGACAAATATT